CCCATACACATGGTTAAATTACATCTGTTCACAGTGTAGGGTTAAAGACACCACTGTGTACAAATTGCAATACATACACGAGATGAAGAATGAAAATATTGGTTTAAAAAAAAAAAACACATGACAGTTGGAGCTGGAAAACTCACCTGCGATCAGAGTTAGGGCATCAGTTGCTCAGCTGCCACAAAGGATACATTCAAGCCTTATTGAAGGCATTAGTGTTCTGATTTATTGCTCAGATCTGATTTTTGTTTGTTTGGCCCATATTAGATTCCAGTGTGAACAGCTCCTAAAGTGAACTGCATGACGAATGTAAGTCTAGAGTGCATTTACATCCACCGGTTTTTAAGCACATTTTAAATGTGTGTATAAAAATGGTGAGTGAAAACACAGGAAATTTAAAAATGATGTCTTTATATTGCAAAAAGAAAGTGTTTATGCCTGACTGAGGTGGAAAAGTTGGTGTATCAGTAAAGAAAAGTGCAATAAAGTGCAATGAAAACTGCAGTTAAACATCCTCTGAAGCTTAAAGACACAAACAGCAGCAAATGAGAACATCAAATCAGTGTGGAGCGATGAGGAGACTGTAACCTTCCTCTAATGAATACATGAAATAAACATTAATGTCATATTTACATCACATTTAACACATGGATTTCTATTTGAGCTGTGCCTCTGCAGTGATTTGCACCTGACTGGAGAATTAGCGCCACCAACAGTCCCATCTCATGTTGGCCCTATGACAGTATGTTTTTCTGACAGTTGATATCACTCCTGCTACTACGCTGACTTGCAACAACATTAGTTAGAAACGGTCCAAAGTGTGGCTTCATTTCATAAAGGAAGTAAAAATACTAAAACTCTACTCTGAGTTCAGACTCAGAGATAATAAAACAGTTACTAAAACCCTGTGTAGGCCTGCTTCTTTGCACACAGAATATTTATCAGAAATCAATGTTGGTATCGATAAAATCAGATCAATTCCCATCCCTAGCAGTAAATTAGGATTTCTGACATTGATAACAAAGGTTAAAGGTAAAATAATTAGTACATGAGCGAGGGTCACTACTCTGGTACGGACAGACCTCTGTTTTCTGGAACACCCAAAAAAATCAAGGCTTTCCCTAAATTTGGTTTGAACAGATTGGTTTCATTTACTAATGCTTTGTGTAGTAGCCCCCAGCTCAGAGAGATCCCTGAGATGTAGACCCCTTAGTGTTGTGATAAGCGGATTACAATTTCAGGCTAGACCGTGTGAGCCACTAATTCTCTGCTTTCTCATCAGAAGCTGTTAACGCCGGGGACACACTGCCCGCGCGAGCAATGCTTTTGCATTGTGGGACCGGTTGCTTTTCATTTTGGTGCAGGCCCACTACGGGTGAACTGACACACTCATTCTTGTCTATACCTGTATAATATATCTCAACACTTCCTGTATCCTCCGTGGACAGCTAGGTAGCCATCATGCACAAGTTCGAGGTTAAAGGGCAGGCGATGCGTCCCGTGCGTTAGAGCCTTATTACTCATTAGACACCTGAATGAATGAAGCATGTCAACACAAACCCCACCCCCCCTCCCCAAACACA